CCGACGGCGCGCAAGGGATCCCTCTTCGCCTCCTTAATCGCATAGATTCTACTTTTCCGGTTCGGCGGCGTCAAGTTAGCACGCCTTTCAGCTTGTAGAACGGAAGAAAGAAGCCGCAGAAGAAACCGAAACACAACTTTCAGCTGCAGCAGGGCTACTGGGCCATCATCATCAGAGAATAGGTCGACTAAAATGATGGGATCTCCTCGATCCCCGCGCTGATTCTACCCTTTCTACCACGTTCAATCTTCTACCCCGTCACGTGCTCACTCCTAAAGTGCGGTATCATCTCACACTAGTCACCGCAGACGCCCCCTCAAGCAGGAGGATGCAGGTGGATACGGAGTATTACGCGGCGTACCATTCGACGAATCAAATCATTGCCTGACAGAAGATCAACACGATGTCAGTGCCGCTGCCGATGATGAATCGCGATCGGCAGACAGAGATCTGCAGGAAACTTTCCTTGCGGTTCCGGACCACCAAAACCAGACCAAAGCTCAGCCGCAGATCGGCAGACAGAGATCTGCTGAGCTTGCGATTCCTCGCGATTCATTCGCCCGGGAGCTCGCCCTTTTTCCTCCGGAGCTGTGGACTGTATGGACTACGGAGTATGCAAATACGTCTCCGCATCGTGCAGCGATGGCAGGCGCGGACACGAGCAGAAGCAGACAGAGGAGGCGGGCGACACCTCGCGCCTACACGCCATGTGCGTCGCACCTGTGACCTGTCGCCGCCCCTTCCCACCTCCGGCACCAGCGCCACGAACAAACCAGGCCCGAAAGCCCCCAGAATATGCCAGGGCGCGCGCACACATGCAGCGAAATCCAAATTCGAATTAACTAGGGATTCGTATCATCATCTTCCTCCTCCGCCCCGCCCCGCGCACACCAGACGCGGCGTGCTATCGGTTGGGGCAGTTGGACGGCACATGCCCGTGAATCTCCCCCTTCCTTTTTATTCCCGGGGGCGATCGATCCACTTGATAAAACTCGTCCGCGCGCCGGAATCGGAACCTGGCGGGCGATGATGATGGACGACGGATGGGCTTTCGCGATTCTTAATCTTGATAGCGCCGTGGCGGGCTGACTTTAGCCGCCGGTTTCATGTGCGCCCAACCGCGCCCGCGTCCCTCGCCGAATTCTCTATGCCGTCCGTCAGACACCCCACATGCACTCGTACGCTCATACCATATTCCTATTCATATTCTTATTCCCACCCGGCCGGTTAAACTAGTGACTCCGGCGAAATCTATCTCCAACAGATAAGATAAACATGCACGCATTGTTGATGATGCTCATTATTTACCTCCGGAAGAAATCCCGACCGAAAAATGGCGGCACGAGCTTCACGTGCACCCTGGCTTGTTACCACGGTAGATTTCTCTTACTGAACGTGTGGGTAGAGGATGGATCATGGATGTATGCGGGTTGGAACTTGGAACCCTCGGGCGGTACTACGAACGCAGCGTACGTCGACGGAGCCGGGCCGGGCCGGGACGGACCACGTAGCCGTCGGCATCAGGGCCGACCGATCTGGCTAGCACATTTCTGCATTCATGCGTGGACGGATCGACGATCGATGGATCGAGTGATACCGATACCGATCCGTGGCGTGGCCGCTAGCGGCACAGCTGGGGCATGGCAAAGGACGCATGGGCAGTGGTGGCACTGTGCTCCCACATGCGCCCGGCCATGCGTGCGTGCCCCGCCCTCTGAAAAGAGCACCCAACCGATGCAACAGCTTGGACTATATATGCTATGCCACCGTCCGCCCGCTGCTGCCTCGTCGTCCTCGCCGAGCCCATCGCGGCTAGGCACCATCTCCATCGTATGTGTGTATGTGCTCCCCGGTCGACGGCGACAGTCCAGTCCCTCTACTCGCCCCGGTCACCATCCACCTCCCTCTCGGTTACGATTTTTCACGCGCCAAGTGAGAAGCGACGGCATGTCGACATGAAATATACCGGACCGGAGCCTGATCGTGTGCATACAATGGACGTGGAATTCACGGCGGCCGGAATGTGTAGGACATGTGCCTGGGCCGGTGACGTCGAGAACAAGGGTCCGTGGTTTTTCTGCCGCGACGTACCGCGGGGCAGAGGGGTACGGGGGCCGGCCCGGCCACGGTCCTTTGGTTTTTTCTGCATGGGATCGGTCACTGTGGGTGCCCCCGGACCCGCCACGGCTGATCAGCCCACAAGGGCTTGTTGCTCTTCTTCTCTCTTCGTCTCTCCCCGTCCGTCCATGAGATGAGGCGTAGAGCTGGCCACGACGCGAC